TTTTTTTTTAGTTAAAACAGGTCCTTATGGTCCTGGCTCCATGTCCATTCTGGGGAGCGTCAGTCCGGTTCCTTTCCACCGGCAAGTCGAAATTGAAATACATGGTGACCACTCACACGCTTCCTTCTGTCTGGCCGAAGGAACCCTGACCGGCATTGATTGCTCCCTTTAAGGAGGATTGACTGTCAGCTTGCCCACCCACTTTTCCTCTCAGAGACTACAGTGTCTCTGCCAGATAGTACGTATAAAGCTAGAAAAGGGGAGAGTTGTCTAGACTGTTGAGATTATGATCTCAGTTTGCTCTTCACTGGGTCCCTGTTCTTATGTTATGCCACTTCTTCCACACCATTCTGTTGTCCACCACAGTGGCGATCTTTCCCTGTAGAAGCCAGTCTCTTATGAATTTACGTCTCTTTGTGGCTATCCTTTCTGGTCTGCCTTTCGTCGTCAAGGTCACTTCTCGCCGCCTGGATCGGATCTCTGTTTCAGCCATTCTCAGCAGTAGAGCCCACATTTCTTCTCGTGGCACTTCAGTTCCTTCGATTGTCTTGGAGCATCTCCTCTTCCAGATTACCCATAGGGCTAGCTTTCTGAGTAGGTGGAACCAGACTTCCTTGCCGCCTTTGAGATTGTTAGTGCCGTTAGATAGGAGCAGGATGTTCAAGGGAGTTGTAGTTCGCTATGGCTGTTGCAGAAGCAAATCTGGCGGTGGATCCAACCAGTGGATTCTACCAAGAACTACTAGACGACACTAAAGAAGAACTAAACGAATGGAGGAGATGGGAACTCAGAGGTCTACAAATACGAGCAAGGATGACAGACTATGCACTTAACGAGTCTATGACAAAATTCTTTTTTTTCCAAAATCAAGGTGAACGCAAGGAACAACATGATAGAGGCCCTCAAAGACCCGTCAGATGCAGGAAGCACACAAACAACAGGCCCTGTGATAGCCAGATCCTTCTACGCAGATCTATACGAATCCAAGACTCCCTCACCCCCGACAACAGCGAAGCGAGCAGCCCGCCAATTGATGCTCTCGTACCTTGACAGAACCATCTCGACCAGTCAGGCGGAAGGCCTGGATAAACCACTGACCCTGGCCGAACTACACATAGCCTTGAACCAGATGGGAAATGACAAAGCCCCGGGCATCGACGACCTCTCTAAGGAATTTTGGAGCTGCTTCTGGCCGACCCTGGGAGAGGACCTACTCGACTTCTTCAACGAAAGCATGCGCAAAGGAGGCCTATGAAAGGAACTAAGCACCAACGTGATCTCACTGCTGTACAAAAAGGGAGACAAAGAAGACCTGGAAAACTACAGACCTATTTCCCTACTAACCACGCCGTACAAAATCCTTGCCAAGGCTCTTGCAAACAAAATCACAAAACTAACGAATAACTGTTTTCACATCGACCAAGCGGGCTTCATCCCAGGTCGATACATATTGGACAACGTGATGACTCTAAATGAGGCGGCAAAAAAGATCACNGGACAACGTGATGACTCTAAATGAGGCGGCAAAAAAGATCACAGAAAAACGAATGAAGGCTGCAATCCTGTTCTTCGATTTCGAGAAAGCCCACGACTAAGTTAACTGGGATTTTCTCCATGCATGCATGGAGAAAATGGGGGTAGGCCCGAACTTCAGAAGTTCGGTGAGAGTTCTGTACGCAGATGCAACAGGAAGAGTCCAGATCAATAGAATCCTATCGGAAACCTATCCAATTTCACATTCAGTCAGACAAGGCGACCCTCTGGCTCCTCCCATATTCCTCTTCATAATGGAAGCCATAGCTTCCTTTCTCCGCAAAGACCCGTCCATTGACCGCCTCACAGAACGGAATTTCAATCCGTTACACAATTTCGCCCTACCCACTGCACTCATGTTCGCGGACGACCTTACGGTACTCATTAGAGCAAACAACAGCTCTTTCCAAGCACTGGTAAGGGCAATGGAAGCCTTCAGCCTGGCATCACAAATGAGGGTCAATTGGAACAAAACCGAAGGATGGTGGTTAGCAGACGGCACCCCTCCCCAACCACCGGACACAACCACACCCATGACTTGGACCACGGGTGAGCAAGCACTACGGTTCCTGGGCATTATGATCAATAAGGAAGGTGTGTGGCCAGGAATGGGCCAGAACCTAATAGCCAGAGCAATCACTCGCCAGGCCCTATGCAAAAACGCCCAGGCCTCACTAATCGGACGTGCACTACTTGTCAACACAGCAATCTTCTCCACACTGTGGTACATGGCATCCATCTGGTCCCTCCCTGACGACGACCTCAAGGAGCTTAAAAACAGGGTGAGATGCTACCTGTGGACTGGTGACCCCAACAGGAACACTTGCATCAACAAGGTTGCATGGAACCACATCACTAGGAAGCCACAGGAAGGGGGTCTCGGGATAATTGACCCAAAACAGGAAGCCATAGCACTGCAGATGAAATGGATAATCAAGATTCTCACCAGACAGTTCCTCCCGTGGACCAAAATGGCGCTAGACAGCATCAGAAACTTAGCTCCCATCAACTCCCCTCCAAACATGAACGGACTGTTTTGGCTCATGGCAAAGGACTGGACAATCAAGTCCGGCAGACCACACAAGAGAAACCCCGCTCAGCACAATCCTGCACAACCCAACACAAACCCCACTCAAACAGTCAGCACAAATTGGAGTCCCACCATCAAAGCATGGCGCAAAATGATGCCGAGTAAACACGGGGCACTAGGTAACAGAGAAGAAGTCCTGAGACAACCGCTCTTCTGCAATCCCTCGATCACTGACCCTAATGGAACGACTTGGACCCTGCGCTCACGGGACCGCAGATGGTTATCCTGGGTAGAAAAAGGCGTGTGGCAGGTCAAGCACATCTGGGTAGAGGACCAAGGACGATGGGCAACGGATCAGGAACTACGCAACACATTAAAAGGCTGCCACGCCCTCTCCGATAACTTAACGCTGATCCAAAATAGTATCCCAACACAATGGCTCCCCCTCCTAAGAGAGGAATTCTCGTGGAAATCCGGGGACTGGGGCATACTAGTCATCCAAGCCCAGCCTACCAGAGCATACAGATTCGTCGCTAGAACCAGCCCACCCAGCTACCTATCCAAATCATATTCCTACCCCATCGCTAAGCACAACACAAATGAGCTGGAAATCCAGAACAAAGATCCCCAGTGCGACATACTCGAGGCCTTCCGACTGAGGAAAGTGAGGGTGTCAAAGGCCAAACCCTGGAAAATCTTTCAACCGGACCTCAGCATCTCAGAACTAGAATTCGACCCGAAAGAATGGTTATGGAAACAGGGAACTTCAGGGAGGACGAGAACGATAGCCGAATACGACGTCAAACTCAGTTACGAGCTAGGCCTACAAACCACAGACCCAGATCCCAGGCTCAAAGGAAAATGGAGGGAGATATTGAGTCTGGACCCCTCGGCCCCCATATCCATCCCGTGGATAAAATTCCTAACCATTAGACCGGCTAGGATTCGAAGCATGCAATGGCTCTTAGCACACGCCTCTCTGCCAACCAATCAGTGGCTCCACAAGAGAAGAAAGCACACAGACCCCGACAGCACTGATATATGCAGACTATGCACAGACAACGCCTTGGAAGACATACCCCACTGCCTCCTATACTGCACGGAAGCAACATGGATTTGGAACAAAGTGCGCGACCTATGGACCATTCTTTTCTCATCCCCTCCCCCGGCCCCTTCTTCTTTTGCGGTCTCTAGCAATATCTCTTGATTCCGCTGAGACTGTCCGCGTTAATTCTGTGTAGCTGTCAATGAACCATTGGTGGTTGTTTGTCTTCTTTGATTCCCGCTGCTTATTGAGGGCCCAGTTTTCTTGTACTGTCACCGTCATTCTTTCTGTTTTTAATAAGGAGTTGTTCAGCTTAAAAAAACCCTGGCCTGTTTGAACTGGTATATTGAAGTTGAGCAGCATCTAGATAGGTTTGTGGTCCAGTCCTTTGAAGGCTGCTGATGGGAGGATTTCGGCCTCTTTGACTGTTCCGAGTAGGCTCTCAGATATGAGGAAGTAGTCAATCCTGGACAGTGAAGTCCGGTTGGCTTGGTTCCTCCTTATTCGGGAGAAAACTTTCTTCTCCGGATGCAGTGCCCTGAGGGGGTCGCAGAGTTTGAATTCAGTCATCAAGTTCCGAATCCGGGTGCCCGCTCTTGTGGGTCCCATTAGTGTCGTTCTTGAGATCCGATCCAGGTTTGGGTCCAGGGTCGTGTTCCAGTCCCCTGCAATGATTATTGGTTGTCGGTTGGGGATGAGGGATTTGATGTTTTCAAAGAAAGTCAGTCTGTCGGATTCCGTGTTTGGTGCGTAAAGGTTGAGAATTCACAGATCCTCTCCTTGCCATTTGATGTCCAACCACGACCATCTCCCTTCCTCACAATCCCCCTCGCTGTTTAGGATCTGTCCTTCGGTCCGGATTTTGGACGTTTTTGGGATCAATATCGCCGTCCCTCTATTGCTTTGATCGTCTTTGTTGGACCACAGGGCGACTGTGCATCCTCCTATAGATCTCTCCATCCTCTGCTGTATCTTCGGGTGACTGCTCAGATTGGATAGATGAGTCTCTTGGAGGAGTATGAGGTTGGGTTTGGGAATATCCTTCCCCACCAGACCTGTCCGGATATCTCTAAGCTTGTCTTCGTCGGTCAGAATGTTCCCAAGGCCGTTGACGTTCCAACTAATTATCTGGAGCCCTTTAGCGTGCCTGTTTATCCTGGGTGGGCTGACCTGCCCGTTTCTGATTCCTGTGGAACTCTGCATTGCTACTTTTTTTTTTTTTTTTTCCTGCTTTTCTTTGATCTTTGGTGCTGTGTTTTCATTTTTGTTTGTGGGGTGGGGTTTTATTTTTACTGCAGTAAGTTATTCAGTCCACGGCTGCCTTGATCTTGTTGCTGTTGGTGTCAGAGTCCCTGCTGTCCTCACTTCCTGCTGAGGAGCCCAGGCCGTACTCTCCAGCGCTGCTCTCCGACGTCACCGGAGGCCCAGCGTCGTCTCCCCCTGGAGAGATCTTGTCGCCCACTTCCATCTCTTCTTCCTCTTCGTTCCCCATGTCTGATTCTTCCCTTCCCATGTCCACGTCAATGGGGGTCGCCTCGTCCTGCAGCGAGGTCTTGGAGGTCAATAGGCGGGTCCTGATGATGTCAGCGAGCGAGTCTGCGATGATGTCGGACGTGCTGAACCTTCCGTTCAGCACGTTGTATGGCAGCATTGTGATTGTGTCCCACGCCCTCCAGGTCAGGCCTTCGCTGAGTTTCGCTCTCTCATTGAGCTTGACCAGGATAGGGTCGAAGGGGGTGAAGATCTGTTCTTCCAGCATCTTTCCTCCGGCTGTCTGCTCTCGTGGCGGGATCCCAAACACCCCCAGCGGAGGCTCGGCTGTGACATTGTCCCTGATGCTCTTGGCCAGGGCCCTATCGTCGTCGAGGGTGGGGATTGAGAAAGTAGCATCTGTGGCCACCTGCCACTCGTTGAATTTGCTTCTGAACCGAACTGGGAGCAGCGGTCTTACTGCCCTGATGGTCCCCCTATCAGTGCTTCCTGATTTGGGGATGCTGGGCGCCTTGTTTTCCGCGATCATACGAATTGTGATAAACTTCTCACCTTGCTCCTTTTTGTAGTCCTGGTTCTGATCGAACAGTCTCTTCGTCTGGGCTGCAACTGTTGCGATCTCCTGCATGAGTTTGCGCTGTTCGTTTTTGCTGCCTGCTTCGTCCTTGGGGGGGGCCCTTGGCCTCTTGTCCCTTCCCTTCGATGGTTTCCAATTTGTGGAAACCATGTCGCGGATGGAGTCTGCCGAAGTTTGGGGGTCAAAGCTTGTGCCGGTGTCTGTTCCAGCAGATTCTCTTTCTCTTTTCTTTTCGTAATATCTGAAAGCGCTGAACTCCGAGAGTTCGGAGTTCATGCGCATCAGGTCAAAAAAATTCTTGGATTGCGGGATTCCGGCCACTGTTTTTCCAGTGGCTGGCTTCCCTGTCTTTTCCAGATGTTTCATGTATGCCAGCCTGACGTCAAACTCCTTTTCCCTTTCGTATTTTGCTCTCTGCAAGTACTCCTCGAGCCAGGGAATGGGGCTTGCTTTGCTTTGTGTGGTGTCCATTCCTGTTTTGGTGTSCGCTGGTGAGTTCGGGTCTGTCCCGGGGGGGGTGTCGTCCGTGGGGGGGTGCTCAGATYTGAGAATCTTGCYTGAGCCTTCCTCCGTTGCCCTCCTYTTCTTCCCTGCCCTGTCATCTTGGATTCTCTTGGCGGAGGGAGAGGCGTTYCGCTTGAGTGCAGGGGGGATCTCTGGTTTGGGGTGGCGGTGTTCGAGGGTCTGTTCCGCTTCCTGTAACAGGGTGTTGTTATCCAGATTGGTGTTCTGGCACGTTTCTGCTGTCTGGATCCTTATTGTCTCCATGTCCCACAGCAGATCCTCGTGCTTCTTCTCTTCTCTGATTGCTCGTGGGTCGATGATTTGGTCCTTGTGAATTTTTCTTGGTATTCCTGTTACTTTTTTTGCTCCCACTGCATGCCATCTACTGTCTGAGGGAGGGAATATGTCTGGCTGCTTCGTTGACGGGTTAGAGTTGTACGTCCAGAGCCACTTTGGGTCCTCGATGGTGTCATCGAAGACCCATCCGTTGTAGTCCTGGTCGTTAACAAACCATATGCCTTTTGCTTCCTCTACTTCCACCAGCATGTTCTGACGTAGTTTCTTCTCTTTCGAGTGTTCGGGCGACCTCGGACACGATGGGTCAGTGCCCAAGTGACCTCTCTCTCTGCATCTGAAGCAAATGGGGGCGTCTTTCGTTGAGACTGTGACTGAAGACGTTTCCTCCCCTATGCAGAATTCCCATTCTTCCGGGAATTCGGGATTTGTTTCAGTGTTCACTTCCAAGAAAGCGGTGATGGAATCACAATGTGGGGCCAGGAATTCTGGAGTCGGGAGAACCCATTTCAACACTCTGTTGTTTGGGTATTCTACCTCCAGTCGATCCTTGATCAGTGGGTGGTGACCTCTGATAGGGATGTTATCGAACTGGACCCAGAATTGTTTCTCTCATGAGTCGCTGTTTCTGCGCTGTTGCCGGGGAAATCATTGCCTTCTGTGCAGTCTCCTGTTTCCACCGGGACACTGAACACACAGACCCATTGCAGTTCAGGGTGGTGTGTTTGTTGATCAGGTTGGATGCCTGATCGGCGTCTTTGAAGACGAACATCATCATGTTTTTGCTCAGTACCAAGATGGAAAATTTGTCCGTGCTGGTCCTGAGATTCTCGTGTCCCTGCACTGTCCTTGTGATCCATTTGCGTTTTTCGATTYCTGGAAGGCGGGCCCCTGTGTTGGAGAAGGTGAAGACGAGCCCGTGCTTCGCGTACATTGCATTGGTGGAATCAATTTTTTCTTTTGGGTAGCACCAGACTGTGATTTCCTTCTCTTCCCCATCCTGCTGGACCTTCTTTACTACTTTCTCTCCCTTAATTTGCGGTGATTCCAGTAAGAAACGAAGGGTTTCGTGGTCTACCAATGCACCGTTCGATTGTGGGGTCTTGTCTGTGCTTTTTGCATTGTACGCCACTACCGATGAGAAGTGGCGTTGGAAGGTGGTTGGAGCTGACTTAGCCATCTTGGCCTGGGTGGGGGAGTCTTCGACTGTGCTTCTTCGGTGCTGGGCGAGCTTTCGGTCTCAAGGGAGGCCGTAGCGAGCTGATGAATGGCTATACAAAAGCCGCACTGAATGATCGTTTGGCGAAAAGGGGGAGATTGAGAAAAGTCCGAAATAAAGACGGAACCTTATGTGTGTCTTTCTTATCAATTTGTACCTCTTTTTTTTTTTTTTTTTTTTTTTTAATCAGGGTTAAGAGTTGCACAGGTCTAAAAAAAAAATTTCTCCTGTTTTTCTTTTTTTTTATTTTGGCAAATAGCGGTCTTGAGAAAAAAAGAAAAACAATTGATGCAAGATTGTGTTTTTTCTTTTCTCTGGCTTTTAGTCTCTTGGTGACGTATTGGGTCTAGAGTTTCTAGAAAAATCTACTCGTGGTTAGCTTGCGTATTACCTGTGTTTGTGTCCTTTAACTGAAGGGGGAGCGGCAGTTCCTTCGGCATTTAACAGCAAAAGTCTGAGAGGACGATGGGGTGACGACGCTAGCTATCTAGAGTCCTGTTTTTAATTTATGTGGTTTCATAGGTTCTTAGGAATGCTAGTTTCTCGTGTTCAC